CTCTCTCTCTCTCTCTCTCTCTCTCTCTCTCTCTCTCCACATCGAATGAACGATATAAACGATGTTGACACATATAAATAGCAAATACAATGAATTATGTTAACACATAGTAGGACATATACGTAAATTTCTATTGTCTATCGATCGAGATCGAAAATCTATTTGTTGATGAAATAAAACAATTATTTTTTTTTATCGAAAAATCAATAAAATTAAGTACCGGTTTTTAGTATGGATTTCTTGATTTTGGTTTTTGACGCTATTTTAGCCGTTCACAGCTGGCGGGTGTAGCAAAGGCCGATGCTAGAGTAAAAGAGCCCGAGTGCATACGGTAAGTGAAGTGTAGGTATAATAGATGCGTATATAGTGTGAATTACACTTGGCAAAGTGGTTAAGTAAGAAAATAGTTGGCTATTGGCTGTGGCTACGGTGCGGTGCGGTGTGGGGCCAATCAAATAAACACCGATAGCAAATACATATAATAAAAAAAAATATTGTTTCGAAACTGACCTCATCCACCTCAGACATTTAACAATCACCCGTCTTCATGAAGAGAAAAAAAAACAATTATCCAAAGCAATTTGCACATTCTTTGAATAACTTGCACTGAACTGACAACGGGAAATGGGCGAAGAAGACGAAAAACAGCATTGAGGTCGTTAAGCACACACACACACACTCCTCATATGCATGCTCATCAAATAGCACTATAATGATTTCATATTTTCATCTTGTCATATTAAAAATATCTATACTTTGGTTTGCATTTCTTCAGCTATTTTTCGATTTGATGGACTCTTTTTATCTAGCTCAGTGTTGTGTGTGCGATTGAGCGTGTACACGCAAATCGATATTGAGCACGCACAGGTATTTGTAGCGAATAAAATGAGAGAGCAAAAGAAATAAAAAAAGAAAAGAAATTGTCACACCCAAAACCGTTATTGAGCGGCCGCCGATAGGAAAAATATTTCAAATTACAACAACGAGCGAACACAAAAATTCACAACTTTGCGCTGCCGCTGCATATCATTTGCTTGTATGTTTTGTGTGTG